TGGCTCACCGTCTTGATCCATACGGCCTCGCGTTCCAACAGGACGTTCCACGGGCGAGGCCGCAGACGGTTCTTTCCTGGTAGATTAGAGGAGTCGGTCCCCAGTCCGCTCCCATCACCAGAGTTGAGGGATTCACCGAGCGGGGCTATTCCTCGGTAACCCCCCCTGGAGCCAAGCCTCGCGGAAGCTTCCGGAGCGAAGCTGCCCAGGTCGGAGCAGCGTCCCGTCCCTCCGGAGGAACCAGACGGCGACCACGCTCTCCAATCGAGCCCACCGACGTGTTTTCAGGCAGCCGCAGTTAGCAACAACGTGCGCTGCTAGCATATAGCATGTCCAAGGGACTGAAGGCCGCAGACCTGCCTTGGAGACGAAGAACTCCCTCTGTAAGGCAGCTGACGCTATTCCTCGGTACCCCCCCCTGGAGCCAAGCCTCGCGGAAGCTTCCGGAGCGAAGCTGCCCAGGTCGGAGCAGCGTCCCGTCCCTCCGGAGGAACACAGACGGCGACCACGCTCTCCAATCAAGCCCACCGACGTGTTTTTCAGGCAGCCGCAGCTAGCAACAACGTGCGCTGCTAGCATATAGCATGTCCAAGGGATTGAAGGCCGCAGACCTGCCTTGGAGACGAAGATCTCCCTCTGTAAAGCAGCTGACGCCAGCTCAACATGTGTGCCTCTCCCACGGTTTGCCTTGTCGGGGACTGCAGCGCGGAGGACGATGACCCAACGATCCACCTGGCTTCGTTACTCCCCTCGCTGCCGGAGAATCTGCACAAGACCTGATGAAGCCCATCGCGGACGCGCTGTTCAGAGCAGCTTCAAACCATGCTGGCGAAGTGAAACAGTCGGAGGAGGTGCCAAAAGCTGTTCGCCACCTCATCAAGCCGCGCGGCCCACCCCGTCCCCGCTGGAGGGACCGTCGCGAGCAAGTTTTCGACTTTTCCACGGCCGCGGCTCTCGCTGAGTTCCACCACCAGCCCCGCCCGTCAGAATCCAGCCCTCTTCACTCCGGCAGCCTGCAGCTCAGCGTTTCCCCAGAGTTCGCCTGCAAGACAGCGCTCTGGGCAAACAATCGCAGAGCTCATGAGAGAGAAAGCTCTCAAATGACGGTCTCCGGAGGGTGTGTGTAAAAGTGACACGAAAGTTGAAATAAATCATCATTAATGATCCAAGTGTCTGTTTTTTAGCCAGTCTGTAAGCCCGGATGAGCTCACAGCGGCCGCACACATAAGAGCGCACTCGTGGGATGAAACAGCCCCACACACGAGCCGGTGTCCTTAAATAAAGGTTTTTAACTCACCGTCGCTCTAAGACATGACGAGTCGATCACAGAACAGCCTCCACACATGAGCCGGTGTCCTTAATTAAAGGTTTTTAACTCACCGTCGCTCTAGACATGACTAGTCGATCACAGGACAGCCTCCACACATGAGCCGGCGTCCTTAATTAAAGGTTTTTAAACTCACCGTCGCTCTAGACATGACGAGTCGATCACAGAACAGCCTCCACATGAGCCGGTGTCCTTAAATAAAGGTTTTTTAAACTCACCGTCGCTCTAGACATGACGGGTCGATCACGGCACAACGGTAAGCGAAAATAACTCATTACCAACTAGAACTGCACGATCCTCACTCAAGCGGTGTCAACTCGCACTCGTGGGATGGAACAGCCTCCACATGAGCCGGTGTCCTTAAATAGGGTTTTTAATTCACCGCCGCTCTTGACATGACGAGTCGAACACTAAGATGACAGCCTCCATCCAACGGTGCTGCGTTGATGCTGGCGCACACAGCTGCCGGCGCTAACCAGCTCACATCGGTATAAATGTGGTCCGCAGGCTGGTCCGGGTGGGGGTCCTTCTCTCTCAGCTTTCGGCAGCTCACCGCAGCTTAAACGTGAAGCAGCCGAAGAACCCGGTAATGAGTCCCACCTCCCTCCAGCGCGCGCCCCTCCAGCGAGAGCGGCGCGCGTCCCTCCAGAGAACAACGTGTGCTCCCGCGGGGCTAAGCAGCCTTCACTCCAACAGCACGGTGTATATGAAGTCACGCCCTCCGCCTTTCAACGTTCGCACAGCGACGTCAAACGCGCAGCTCACCGCGTCATCAGCTGTCACACGCTTCGCCTTCAGCTCAAGTCTCGCCCGGGGTCACACAGAAAACATTCCCGCGACGCATGACGGCGGTTGAGGGACGGACTGCTGACAGCCGTACAAAACATGACGCATCATTAACGCACGTTCATCCACGAACGTTACGTAGAGTGGCTAAAAAAAAAAAAAAAAACATGCTCGCCGTTTTTCAGATGGATGGACAGGGTTTATGCAAATGGTACAAGTTACAGTTTGCAACCCGAACCCCTCCATTCAGAGGAGTTATATAAACGGTCCCGTCATCATCAGACTGATTCTCTTCCCTAAATGCAGAAATCCAAGTGTTTTCTGATAAAAGTAATCTACAGAGTTCCCCAAGGGAGAGAAAACACGAGGGTTTTACTCACGGATCGGAGGGGTGAGACCGTTCTTGGATCTGTTGTTTAACATCCAGAGAACGCATACCGATCATCCTAAAACACAGAGACGAGAGTTTTTTGTTTTACCTGGATGATCTGCGGATCCTGTCACTTCAGACAGGAGGCGCTGATGCAGGATCAGGTGTTGACATCACACCTGTTAATCTGGGCTTCGCCATAAAGTGGAAGGAAGCTCGATTTTCCCGGCCCAGACATTTGTTTTTCTGGAGTGGAATTAAATTCAACCACCATGAAAACTCGTTTATCACATGAGACGCCTCTAGAGGTGTTTTTGCACGTCTGCATGTGGATCCAGTAAAACAAACGACGGATGATCATTGTTTTTTCCTCTGTGGAAGCAGACCTCCGACTCTGGGGAAACACCTTGTTTTTCTATCAGAGGGAGTCCCCCTCAGCAGACCCACGTCATGGGTCAGTCTTCACGGACACGTTGCTGTCAGGCTGGGGGGGGGACATGCCTATCTCAAGCAGTAGGGGCGCTGTGGCCCCACTACACATCAGCCCACATCAATGTTTTGGAGTGTCGCACAGTACTGAATGTGATTCAACACCTTGCTCCTGTGCTACAGAATCAACACGTGTTGATTCACACAGACATCATGATGACTGCTGCGTACATAACCATCAGGGTGTGCGTTCAGCCCAGATGTTACACATTGTGCGAAAGCTACTGAGTTGGGTTCATCAAAACCTGCTTTTATTAGAGCGGTTTACATATCCGGTGTTCTGAACAGAGGGGCTGATGTGACGTCCAAGGGCGGCCCACGTTACGTGGACCGGATCCTCCATCCGGATCTGATGTTTTCAGACGCAGCAGAAGTTGGCAAAGCAGCTGTGGACCTGTTTGCGATGCGAGAAGAACGCTCAATGTCAACTACGGTTTTCCCTGAGCCCACGAGACGATCCATCGCTGGGGGGGGACGCATTTGCTCACAATCGGTGGCCCAAAACGCTTTTTACGCGTTTCTTTTCCCCCACCTCCTCTGTTTTTTACGGTCCATGAACCGAGTTCAAGAGGAGGGATTGACAGCTCTCCTGGTGGCTCCCGGCGTGTGAACGCACTATGGTTCCCAGGCCTGCAACGTCTGTTGTTGGGTCGCCGTGGAACTGTCATGGAGGAAGGATGCTCTCCTTCAGGCAGGAGGAGCGACCAAGAGTTACCCAGAAATAGGTCAACACCGGTGGGTCTGACCGCTGAGCGGTTCCACTTAGAGGATGGGTCTCCCTCAGGAGATAGTGTGCACAATTCAAGATTCACGTGCTGCATCTACCACAGTTCTGTACACATCAAGGGGACGGCTTTTCAGCGCTGGTGTACAGAGAAGGTTTAGAGACCACTTCATGCCTTTTAGGCGGCGTGTTGTTTTTCTACAACAGCTGATGGATAGGGAGTTGGCTTTCAGTACGCTTTAACGTACGATTGCAGCCATCTCTTCCTGCCACAAAGGGTCTGGAGACAGAACAGCTTTTATCACCCGCTGATGAAGCGGTTTCTAAAAGGTGTACAGAGATGTAGGCCTGTTTCACGCCCACTTGTTCCACAGTGGGTTTAACGCTGGTCCTGCGAGCCCTGATCAAAGCTTCAATTGAGCCTCTGGATCAGGTTTCATTTAAATTCTTGTCTCTTTTAACAGCCCTGTTGCTGGTTTTAACACCCGCTAAGAGGGTAAGTAATTATCTGCCCTCTCTGTTGCTTCGTCATGCCTTAGAATTAGGCTGACGGGCAGCTCAGCTGATTTAAGACCAACCCAGCTTTTATGCCTAAAACATCACGAGCTCTTTTAAATCAAGAGTGATATCGTTGGAGGGGTTTTTTTCCCCCCCACAGATCAGAAGGGGAAGCATCTGTTCATCTTCTCTGCCCGGTGCAGGCGTTGACGTGTTACGTAACGCGCACAGCTGCAATGCGTTCAAATTCAACAATTGTTTGTGCATTATAGAGATGCTTCTGCAGGTCGCCGTTATCCATCCAGCGCTTGTCACACTGGCTGTGTGAGGCCTTTTCTGAAGCCTACAGAGCATCAGATTTAGGGCCTCCTGTCAACCTCTAAGCACATTCGACCAGGGGTATCGCATCTTCGACTGCTCTGCATAATGGTATGTCAATGCAGGACATTTGCACTGCGGCTGCATGGTCAACACCCTGCTCATTTATTCGCTTTTACCTACGTGATGTAACGGCTCGTTCCATGACACATTCTGTCCTTAGTGCTCTAACAGAATGAATATTGTTGTTCTCATGGAACTCTGTTTAAGCTCACTTCTGTCTGCATGCATTACAGTGTGAGATGTTGTTATCAGTCACAGTCGTGTCTGTGTTTCTGGTTCTATTGTCACTAATCAGTTCATGATTATTGTTACCAATCAGTTCATTTGATTATTTATCAATTCATGGACATTAATCTGTTTATACTGTTCAGCCATGAACCAGTTGGTTCATGCCCCCCTCCCCCCCTCTTTTCAACTTCCTCTTCCCGTTGAAAGTTTTTTCCGGGGTATTCATGCTTGTCAGAACGCATAGTTACACAACATGCGTCTGTGCATGGCACATAATTACGCGATGCGTAGTTTTATGCACACGGGGAGCTGGGTGACAAGACGTTTTTTTGGGCAAGCTTCCGCTTCTTACTGTGTTCGAATGGACCCAGTGAGGCGAGGACCACATCCGCTTCGCCCTTAACCCATCAGCGACAGCCTTAAAGGGCGAAGCCTATATGAAATAGAACGTTGGTTACGTACTGTAACCCCAGATTCTATGAATATAGGCGTAGCCCTTTAAGCGTCGGGCCTCACTGGCTCCTAAATGGCTGAAGAAAAAAGCTATTTTGGGAGCCGATTTCCCGCTCTTAACGTAATTTATACGGACCGGGTGGGGCCCACACAGCAGGTGGGCGTGGACTAATTTTTTTCAGTGCTTATGCTCTGCATAACGGGATAAACCCATCAGCGACAGCCTTAAAGGGCTACGCCTATATTCATAGAATCTGGGGTTACAGTACGTAACCAACGTTTATGATAAGATAATTGACAAAATAATGAAGACCGTCAAATCACACTCATTTGAACAGTCACGCCGTCTAACTTAAGTAACATCATTTATTGATTACTTAAACAATTTCGGATAAACATAAAATAGCATGTAAAATATTTATAATAAATACATAAGTGGCTTTCAAGAATCTTAAACAACAGAGAAAAATATGTAGTTATATAGTTCATCCATCTATTATCTTTACCCGCCTCTTCGTTTTTGGGCCCATATCCAACAGTCACTGTGTGAGACGCGGGGGACACCCTGGACAGGTCTCCAGTCCATCACAGGGACACACAGAGACAAACAACCATTCACTCTCTCACTCACACCTAGAGGCAATTTAGAGCAGAGCTTTCTTGGTTTGCACATCCCCAGGACGATTTGGGAGATGTGTAAATAGAAACTTCGATACACAGGACAAGGAGCAAAAGCAGGAGGAGGCAGGAGAGGGAAGAAAAGGCATTCGTCTTGCTCGAGGGCGAATGAGGAAAAACTTACTTAATAGTAACAAACTTAAACTTAAAACTTACTTTATAGTAACATTTGTGCATATAAACACACTTTTAAATTCCACATTTTAACTAAAACTTATATATATATATATATATATATAATTGCAGGAGATTTTGGAGGAGGTGCGGAAAGAATTGCAAAAAGTCAAAGAAGAAATTATTGGAGGTGAGAAGACATTTAACTATTAAATTTTCACTATGATTTTACCCCAGAATGACGAAGTATTATAGGTATTTACTGTTCGTTTCCACTCTCTTTCTCCACAGCCTTTGTTCAAGAGCTGCAAAAAAGAAACACATAGTTCTGCTGTCAGGTGTACCGGAGGGGTGTGATGCACGGAGGTGTTCGAGGCACATTGGGACTTCTCCACTGCCCTCCCCTCTTATTGTATAGCCCAGGGATTTCTCCTTCACCTTTTTTTGTCTATCAAATCTTACACAAACACATGTGCTTTCTCAATTTATTTGTACAACAAACATATTCACTTCATGTCAAAGTTAATCCAGGGATTTCCTCACGTCGCCTTCCAGCACTTGGAGCGATCAGTCATTAATGATGTGTCGGTGCGCCATGTTTTCATCGTTGATTCATCCACTCCTGCGATCTGCTCCGGTCTGAAAAGCACAAAGCGTCAACTATTTCTGTAATTAGTCATCTCTACTGCTGAAGTCCTCCTACGTGTCCCCTTCGACTGTCGAGAGGCATCGTTATGGATGGAGCAGTCTTCAGGGATAGTGTATTAACTGTATTTTTTTTTTTTTTTTTTACTGTAATAGCAAATCATTTTGTTTCTCTTCCTGCCTCAGTTGTTCCAGTATTTGTTAGTAGGTTATGGTCACCAATGGTAGTTGGTGATCTTGTCAAATCTGAGCATGCACAACCACACTCGTTCACAACTGCAGTGAGTTCCTCTCGAGTGGGATTTCAGCTCCAGGCAAGGGACAACAACTAGAAAGTCACGACATGGCCCCTCACTGCTATGACGAAGACGCCAGAGGAAGAGGAGACGAGCAAAAAGGGAACCTGATGGACCACCTGGGAGCTGTGAAAGAGTGTTATAGTTTTATAATCTGTCTGAACTTTATTTCTTAATGCGTTGCGCTTGTTCCAGAGGAAGTGCGTCTGTGTGCCACACTGCCTTCGTAGACTTTTCCCTTTCACTGATTGAACTGTTTACCTGTTGGCCGATCGAGCCGTCCCACTGCTTACTGTACTTCCGCCAGTTGTTTTCCTTTAATGCTAGATGTTTTTTTTTTTCTTATACGGTAATTTTGTAACATGAAACAAATGGCCATGGAGGTCCATTAATTTGGCCATGACAACTGCCTTGAGAACATATAAATATATATAAATATATCTATATATAAGGAAATATATTTGTTTTGATGGAAAATCTTAGCTAAAATGAAAGTGTTTCTATTTTAATTGAAATAACTGGGAAGTGGGGTTTCTTTTTTCAATGACTTTTTTTTCTTTCTTAGTCTAGGCTTTTTACACTGAAATATAAATAAAATGGCTTAGAGACACTGGACTAGAAATGCCTTTATAGTTAAATACAGCTGCTTTTTAAAATGCATTACTTTGTCCCGAGTCTTTTATTTTAACATCATTTGGAAGGATTCTTTAAGTCTAAAAACTTATCGGCAGCACTGCAAAAACTTAAGTACTGAAATCTAAACTATCTCGTTAAATTTGCCTTAAAGTGCTGCCGAATGGTTGTGGGAAAATGGAAAAAGTCAATTTCACGTCGCAAGAGGAATTTTTCGATGCAACCTTTAAATAGGTTATAGTCTCACTGAGCCTGGAGGACTCATTTACAAGAGAGACCTAATTTTAAAGAAAACGCATGACAGCAGTAGACAATCCCAAAAAAGCACATAAAGTGAAAAGTAAATGGAAGAAATTATATTAAAAACAAAACAAAAACGTTAAAAAAATACTAAAACCAGGAATATCTCTGCATTGGTTTTTGCCATGAACTTGACAGATGTTTGAAGTCACTTAGAGGTCAAGGTCGAGAGCTTCAGATCTTTTTGCAATATATTCCAGTAAACTGGAGCTGAGTAGAAAAAGGCCGTTTTGTCTAGTTCAGTCCTCACTGAGGGAACACTGCAGGTAATAATGTCCTGAGAGCGCACGCTGTAGCTGCACTCACACAGTGACCTGTAGGAGGAGATGTATGAAGGCAACAGACCAAGAAGTGATGTAAAGATGAAAATGTACCAGTGAGAGAGTCTACGTGAAGTTAATGATGTCCAGTTAACCAGTGAATACAGGGTGCAGTGGTGGGTATGGTTACAGCCAGTTATGAATCTTGGCGCACCGTGATAGATGGTGTCCAACATCTGCAGAGTGCTTGTAGGAGCTTTCATGTAAATAATGTCACCGTAGTCGATGGAGGGAAGGAAAGTCACAGCCACAAGGCGTTTCATAGCTTTCAGAGTTGTGATCTATTTCTGAAAAAGAAACCCAGATTTACTTTCAGTTTCTTACAAAGTTTTTGACATGGGGCTTAAAAGAGAGATCAGAGTTGGCCAAGATGCCCACATCAACCAACTCAATAAGAACACCAATTGAAGATAAAATAGGACTGCTGGAACCGACTTCCTGTTTGAAAACGTCCCCTTTGGTTTTGTCAGCATTTAGCACAAGTTTGAGACGGAACAAATCTGACTGGATGACGTCAAAAACACTATAAAAGCTGGAAAACCTCAACAGTTTTAGCTTGACGGTTAACAACTGTGTCGTCGGCATAGAAATGTAAGGATGCATCAGGGATGAACTGGCCTACATTACTTATGTAGATTGTGAAGAGGGTACACGTCCTAATACTGAACCTTGTGGAACACCATTCAATTACACACAATTACACATTTATTTAAAATAGTAGTTTCCTAAAGAGGCCAAAGAAAGAGAGAACTTTAAAATATGAGCACTAGAGGGAAGAAAAGCACCGTGAAAATATATTTAATTTTGGCACTTTTAACTCGACATAGAACATATGAAATTTTAGGCTTTTGCAGGGGTGTCACAAAAGGAGGCCAAAGAACACATTCCAAACCAAGGAGCCAGTTTCAGTCAATACATTATCTCCAGTCAGATGTGTGACATCTTCAGGTTCCTCAGCAAGAGTTTCATCGGTTTCATAGTGTTCTGTATTTTCTGCATTACAAATAAAAGATTATGGAATAAAGTATGCTCAATTTTAAGTAAAATGAGAAGTAATAAAAAAAATAGTCTACTTATATGGGGGCCACACAAAAGGCTCACGGGCCTTGATTTGACAATTGTGCTTTAAAAAGTGACAATAAATTGTTGCTAACTTAAGCCATTTGGCACAATCTTTATTTATTCAGCTAGTTGTTTTTTTTTAATTTATTTTATTTGGTGATAAAAATAAACAACAGCTGACGTGAGTTTAAGCTTTGACAGAAAGTTATGTACTTTTTGTTTTAGCTAAATTACTAAAGCTTTAACGATTTGCTTTGTGGTATAAAAAAATAATAAGTATTTGAACGGACGCTCATGACTGAATAATTTGCTAACTTTAAACATAAGAGGAATGAATGAGGCAGCGTCCGTCCAGGTCCCTGGATGTTCCTGAGAGGGGAAAAGGCTCGGAGCTGCTTCCGCCGCCATTGCGGATTTCAGAGCAGATCAGCCGCTGTGCCCATCGCTGCTGAGCAGAAAACACACGGAAAGCGTACAAACTCAACACTTTGGCTGGCATCGGACTTCAGAAACATTGCCAACAGCGTACCACACATTGGTTTTGTTCCGTTGTGCTGCATTTTACCCTGGCTGGCTCCGACCTACAGTGAGGAGGTCGTAGCTAGCTAGCGCTGTGCTACCGCCTAGCTAACTAGCTGCAGCGGCTACATATTCAGGTCGGCGAAGCGCAAGAAAACCACAGCCATGGCTCAGATACTGCCTATCCGCTTTCAGGAGCACCTGCAGGTATGTGAAGACATTGAATACTTTCGCAATTCCCAGCGCTTCTGTTGTCAATTTCCCCGCAAAGCCCTGGTTTGACAGCCGAGCTAACAGCTGCAGTAAATGAATGACCTCCCCTCCCCCGTTCATCCACCGCTAGCTTTTACGCTGTCACGTTTTCATCCATCATCTCCCTCACGCTCGTCCACACGGACAGATAAACTTCCGAACCTGACACGAACACCTGGACATTGTGTTTGTCTCTCTTACGTTTTTAATGTGTCGCCTAGTTTGATTATTCGACGAGATGTTAGCTTCAGCGTTAGCTCGAAAACCACCGCTGTTGGAGCCACATCTTGGATAACAACAACAACAGCTTTTTTCATGTTTTGGATAATCGTTTTGAAGGATGTATAAACTGCAGGAGAAACATCAAGAGATGCGCTTGACAGCCGCAGCATCACGTCAGGGTGAATGGTTGTGTCACGACAGGGCTGTAGCCGGTGGCTCCATGAACAGGGTTCTGTGTCAATAAAAACATGACTTCTTTTTTAACAAGGTAAAGTCAGGTCCTCTGGACGGATTCTCCTTGTTGAAACATTTCGTCTTTTAGCCAAAACACTTCTTCAGTCTGAGGAGCTGCAACAAACTCAGTCTTATAAATGGCACCTTCTCATGGGTAGTGCCAAGCCTTAGGCTGATGGTCCTCCTTTATCATGTGAACAGCTAGTTCTGGATGTCAGCAACAAACTGGTTGATCCACTGACATGGGTATCCAAAGTGCAGCCCAAGGGCTATTTGCAATCCTTTTCATTCATTCATCCTTTTATTTATACAGGTTGATCCCATTGAGCCTTGGGGACTCATTTGCAAGAGACCTGATTTTAACAAAGAGTGATGGCAACACTGGAAATAAACCAAGACAACAACAGACAATCATAAAGGATGCATACAAATTGAGAATAAGTGGAAAATCAAATTGTATTTAAAAAATGTAACAAAAAAACAGCTAGGTTGTAATGCGATGTAAAATACTGAAAACGGGAACATGTCTGCATTGGTTTTTACCAGGAACTTAGAAGTTTAAAGCCACTTGGAGAGGTCAAGGTCGAGAGCGTCAGATCTTTTGAGAAGGGGTTCTCTGCAGGCCAAAAGTGGGCGTTTCTGGTGAATAAGTGTTTGTGGGGGGCAAACACTGATTGGCTAACTGTATTTAATTGGCATTTGTAGAGGACAAACATTGATTGGCAGCTGTATTTGCTGCTCTTTACGCAAGTTACGTCAACTCTTTTAAAACTGAAGGTTTATAAGAACAGCGTTAAATCTACTGTCAAACACAAGAAGATTCTCTTGTGTTCTTGGGTGTAGGCTGCACCTGACACAGGTTGGCTTGAGTGTTGTCTGGGTACAATGAAATATGAAGCATCTGAAGTGAAACCTGCTCCATTTGTCAAAAAGTCTGGTCTCAATTAAAGATCATGAGTCCTATGACGAGATAATGGCCTAAAACAAACACTAAAAGCAAAATTTGTTCTTTAGAAGTGCTCTTCTATGAGATCTGATCTATGAAAGGAGCTGAAACATGGAGTAGGGTTGACCTTTAAAATGTGAGACAGCTGAGGAAGTTAACCAGTAAAGAGAAGTACCTGCTCCAGTTGCAGAAATCTTACAGAAACTGACAATAACTCATCTGCAGTGACCGCAGGTTGAACAAGAAAATGTGAAGTTAAAGGTAAAGTTAAAGTTATCCTTTGTCCCAAGGCCAATTTAAGGATCATTAATATTTTGGTTACTTTATTTTTCTTTCTTTATGAATTGATTGCAACTATTTTCACATTTTTCAACAACCAAAATTGATTTTGATTTTTAATGTTGTGGCTAGGTATTAAAAAATATATATATAAAAAATAACATTTAGCCCTCCCCACTACCCAGTTATGTTGCTCTTATTTTGAAATGTAACCGGAAGTTCTGTGTTAAGAGAGACGGAAAGAGAAGTCACGGAGACGCCATTAAGGTCGAACCAGTTAACACCATAGACATCATATGTCTGTGGTTAACACAAACAGCTTTTTTTGGTTAAGCCTTTTTTTTCTATCGTCCAATCAGATGTGACCCGCCAGACACACCCATTTTCCTATAGTCCATTCAGATATGACCCCCCAGATATGCCTCGTCCAATCAGATGTGGCTCCTGATACGCCTTCCAAATTTGCCTGCAACGATACCTACTTGGATCTTTTTGTAAGGTGTTCCAGGATACAGGAGTAGGGTAGGAGAAGGCCTTTTTGACTAGTTCAGTTCTCACCGAGGGGACACTGCATGTAATAATATCCTGAGCGCACGCTGTAGCTGCACTCACACAGTGACATGTGTTCCATTGTGCTGTAAGACTAGTCATGCTAACGGGGCTAACACGACGTCCAAATGTCTGTGGTGCTATCGGCTATAAGCTTCTCAATGACGTCAGAAATGACGGCTTGTAACTCGGGTAAGGTTACGTTGGAAAAATATCTCCAACTGGGGACGATGTAGCGAGGCTCAATGTAGTCCAGAAATTTTCAGAATCCAACATCCTCACCAACAGAAAAAAAACCTTCCACACCGCCGACATTTTGAATTTTCCTCCCCACCGTGAGATCAGGTAGGTGCGCGTGACGTCATCACGTTGTGCTGCCGCTGCAGGCATCCTTGTCACTGGGTTGTCGTACAAAAACAGCGTCTTTTTATATCGGTGAGTTATTTTGATGGAATGGCCGATGTCCGATATTGAACTTTAATGCTAATATCGGCCGATACTGATACCATACTGATAATATTGTTCATCCCTAATAAATTGTATATGTATCCTGAAAGATGTAGTAGGAACAATTTGTTTGATGACAAACTGAGTTTGTTTATGAGATCTGTCCACTTCATGTCATGTCACTTCAGCTTAGGAGTTGAAGCTCAGTGTTCAGAATTATTGGGTTTTTTTTTTACATTTTTACATTGTTTTTTGTTTGTTTGTTTGTCTCTTTCTAGCAAGTCATACATGCCAAATGTTCACTGATTGAAAATAAGATCCTAACATCTCATGAAGGTTTCTAAACTTCATCTGGTAAAATATGGTGGTTGTTCGCTGAGATATAGGAAAGGTTGCCAAACTTGTATACAGTCAGAAATCTGGAGGCTTTAATAATTAGGGGTGTCTCAATACTATTTTTTTTTTTTTTCTAGACTTGGTACAAGTACTTCAGTTTGGTTATTTGACAATATCGAGTACTGAGTAGTTAAAGAGCTGGCCCCTAAACATTACACAACTTTAGAAATATTTATTTTATGCAGAACTAAGCAGATACCATAGTCTACCGTTTTAACATCACTTGTGTTTACCCTAAAATATCCTCAAACATTTATACATTTACTCCAGTTACTTGCACAGTTATTTATTTATTAACCTTTTATTTAACCAGGTAAATCCCTTTTAACACAGATCTCTTTTGCAAGGGAGACCTGAGCCTCAAGGCAACCGAACAACATACTGTACATGTTTTGCACAGTGGGAGAAAACCCACGCAAACACGAGGAAAACATACAAACCCCACACAGAAAAGCCTCAGGTCCAACCGGGGTTTGAAACCCAGGACCTCCTTGCTGTGAGGCAACAATGCTAACCACTAAGCCTAAGCCTAGTGGATGAGGAAATGACATCACCAAGCAGAAAAGTGTTATTGGGGTGTTTTTATTATTACAAGTAAGATTAATTTGAGGATGGTATCAGGCCACTACTACTAATGTTTCATTTTTCTTTTTAAACTTTGTACCTGCACTGGTGTGTGTTCCTTGGAGGAGTGTGTATCGCCCGCCATCTTTAATGTCAAGAGTTTTAGACTGAAGTTATCTTGTGATGAGAAATGGAGTTGTAGCAGTTTTTGTCAAACCTTGTAAATGATGCTGTGACCTCATGTGATCTGTTGCTGGTGCTTGAAAAATGATTCAACTTCAACACCAAGTTTTAGCTTATCTGTAAAATAGCTGTGGAGGCCATTTTGAATTGAGATTACTCTTAAAGTTAATCAGTTTTAGACATACAGCTAGCAATTCATTTCAGGAAGTTTCTTTAAGATCTGGCCATTTGTTAGCTCTTGCGTGATCAATTCGTGCTCAAAGTGTGTGTTGGGAATAGTTTAACCTTATAGACAACTAGCACGTGTGTGCTGTGCACACAGAAACAGACAAAAACATTGCTTGTGGCTTCAGTGGCTGGTGATTAAATTTGTACATACGGTAACTAGAATGTGGCCATTAAGTGCACACAACACTTTGGAGGACCCCTTTCTCTGAAAAAGTTAGATACAATAAGATTGATGGTTTTTGTCTGCGTTTGTCTTTGGAGAATTCTACGAGGGGATTAACTTTGACTGGATAATTATTCGTACACAATATTTGAGATCAAATCCTTGTCATAAATTGTATTTATTTTATTCATGTTTGATACGTATTTTCTTATAGGGAAAATTTATGCTTAAATTTTTATTTTTGTAAAACAATGTTTTTGTATAGCTAAACTCTTTATTTCTCTTGAAATATGTAATTGGCTTAATATAAGTCTTGCACCACCTGTATGGTAATTGGTAATGAATTGTTTTTGCTGGTCATTAAAGTGATTCTCATTTTCATGCGACAGCTCCAGAACCTGGGAATCAACCCAGCCAACATCGGCTTTAGCACTCTAACCATGGAGTCCGACAAGTTCATCTGCATAAGGGAGAAAGTGGGGGAGCAGGCCCAGGTCGTCATCATTGACATGGCTGACCCCAATAATCCCATTCGCCGCCCCATTTCTGCTGACAGTGCCATCATGAACCCTGCCAGCAAAGTTATTGCCCTCAAAGGTAAGCAGCAGCTTTAAACGCATTTGGCACATAGCAGCTTTCACGAAATTACATGATGCAAAAGCTAAAAGCTGGTCATACTTGTCATTTTCTGATACATTTGGGGTCATGTTTTTTTAATTGTTTATGTAGCTCTCACAGTCTGCTTTTCATTTTAATGTTCATAATTAGACCCCCATCTTTGTTTGTCAACAACTGCACCGTAGTTTGATACAAAACCGTACTTTTTTGTAAGAAGTAGCAGCAGTATTGTCATGCTGTCATAAATGCTTTGTCTATTTTGCTTGTTTTGTTCTTTTTTTTCCCTATTTCTTACTGCTGTCTTATGTTTGCAGACGGTGAGTTGAACTTTACATATCATGAGTTGTCAAAGTGTTCCTGTATGCAGTGTCTTGAATGGTTTATTCTTTATATGGTGCATTTATTCTCCACTTGAACTGAAAACGATGGCAAGCTTCAAACGATACACTACACTACTACACGAAACAATATTTATATTTCAGCTGATAATTTTCCTAAAAAATTTTAAACAGTATTTTTTTAAATAAATACAATCTTTGTTCATCTAAGTACCAAAAGTGGAAAAACAAATATGAATAAATTCCCAATGAATAAAAAACTGCAGATATTCTGCTTGCATGCAATTTGCAGATATTTTTGCAGACATGATTTGTAATGCTGCTGAATAAACGTGTTAGCATTATGATTATTCTAAAACATTTGGACTTGCAGTTAAGTAAACTAACACCATTCACAAGATGTATGTTGGAGTAGGCACATACCTCATAAAGGTGCTGGTCATAAAATTAGAATATCATGAAAAGTTGATTTATTTCAGTAATTTCATTCAAAAAGTGAAACTTTTATATTAATTCATTACTCACAGACTGATATATTTCAAATGTTTATTTCTTTTAATGTTGATGATTATAACTGACAACTAAAGAAAATCCCTAATTCAGTTTCTCAGAAAAATAGAATATTACTTAAGACTAATAAAAAAAAAAGGTTTTTAGAAATGTTGGCCAACTGAAAAGTATGAACATGAAAAGTATGAGCATGTACAGGATCAGTACTTAGTTGTTGCTCCTTTTGCCTGGATTACTGCAGCAGTGCGTCGTGGCATGGAGTCGATCAGTCTGTGACACTGCTCAGGTGTCATGAGAGCCCAGGTTGCTCTGATAGTGGCCTTCAGCTCTTCTGAATTGTTGGGTCTGGTGCATCACATCTTCCTCTTCACATTACCTCATAGATTTTCTATGGAGTTAAGGTCAGGTGAGTTTGCTGGCCAATTAAGAACAGGGATACCATGGTCCTTAAACCAGGTACTGGTAGCTTTGGCACTGTGTGCAGGTGCCAAGTCCTGTTGGAAAATGAAATCTGCATCTCCATAAAGTTGGTCAGCAGCAGGAAGTATAAAGTGTTCTAAAACTTCCTGGTAGATGCTGCGTTGACCTTGGACCTCAGAAAACACAGGGGACCAACATCAGCAGATGATATGGCACCCCAAACCGTCACTGACTGTGGAAACTTGACACTGGATCTCAAGCAACGTGGATTCTGTGCCTCTCCTCTCTTCCTCCTGACTCTGGGACCTTGATGTCCAAAGGAAATGTAACATTTACTTCATCAGAGAACATAACTTTGGACCACTCAGCAGCAGTCCCAGGCGAGACTCTTCTGATGTTGTCTCTTGTTCAAGAGTGACTTGACACAAGGAATGTGACGGCTGAACCCTTGTCTTGCATACGTCTGTGTGTGGTGGTTCTTGAAGCACTGACTCCAGCAAAAGTCCACTCTTTATGAATCTCCCCCACATTTTGGAATGGGTTTTGTTTCAACATCCTCTCCAGGGTGCGGTTATCTCTATTGCTCATACACATTTTTTCTACCACATATTTTCCTTCCCTTCGCCTCTTTATTAATGTGCTTGGACACAGAGCTCTGTGAACAGCCAGCCTCTTTAGCAATGACCTGTTGTGTCTTGCCCTCCTTGTGCAAGGTGTCAATGGTCGTCTTTTGGACACTTGTCCAGTCAGCAGACTTCCCCATGATTGTGTAGCCTACAGAACTAGACTGAGACCATTTAAAGGCCTTTTCAAGTGTTTACAGTTAATTAGCTGATTAGAGTGTGGCACCAGGAGTCTTCAATATTGAACATGCATCAGGATATTCAATATTGAACCTTTTCACAATATTCAAATTTTCTGAGATACTGAATTTGAGGTTTTCATTAGTTGTCAGTGATAATAATCAACATTAAAATAAACATTTGAAATATATCGGTCTGTGAGTAATGAATGAATATAATATACACGTTTCACTTTTTGAATGAAATTACTGAAATAAATACACTTTTTTATGATATTCTAATTTTATGACCAGCACCTCTACGCATTTAAACATTGTCTCCCACTGACTATATAATGAGCTATTTAAGTTTGCAATTTAATTTAGGTTGCATGAGCTGTATATTTCACAATAATTTTCCCTGTTTTGATGATTTATGTTTATTTAAAAAAAATAAATTTTAAGTGCAGTAATTTTTATGTAAATACCTGAATGTATCTCATAGTTTTTAAATAAGACTAAAATAGTTTGCTTTAATAATTGATTTTACTCCTTTTTGAACAGCAAATAATAAAATCTAAACAGGTTTTATTCAATAATAATTTTTAGCTTTATCATGCTGTAATTGCAAATGTCCTGGCAAAATTTAATATTTAATCATGGATTAGAATAAATGTAGGATGACTGTGTCTGCACATATTCAATAATTGGCTTACTTTTTTATTGTTTCCCAACTGTGACATATACCACTAGTTTTATTTTTGTTGCAAAGTGAGGACTTGATATCGCCCATCTGTCCTTCCGTCCATCCATCTGGTTCATCTTGTAAGCTGTATAACAAACAATAAGTGATGTACCAACTTTTACTTTGGTGTGTGCCTGCATCCAGGTGTAAGAAAGGTCACTATTGAAAATTATGTGTACATGTGTGCACGTCTGTATCTAAACAGGCCACACTGATCATTTGAGGAAACTATGGTTTCTAGTTTTTGTAGTGCTCAAAAATATAGTTTCCTAAAATGATTGGGTTGAATAAAAAATAATTTATGGTGGCCACATCCTGGCCCCACCATTGCACCTGGTGGTGGATAAAATTGCTCCCTCAGCTAGCCAAGATCTGTCATTTTGCACCTCCGAGGACAAGGAAAAAATCAAAAACTTTGTTCTTCTGCACAGTGTCATTCCTACTCACTTGAATATCTTGCACCAAAACGTTAAGGTTTGTCTGCATTCCCTGTTCAATTCCAGTCCAGTAAAACACTTATCTCTAAACTATAAACAATTACTATTCAAATCCTTCTGTGATGGGGACATAGTCATACTGCTTATATTTTAAATTCTAATGTTTGTTGCAGATTTACAGTAATATTTTAAACTTTATTAGAGTGTAAAGTTTTATCTAACATTCAATACATCTGAGGCCACTGAAATTTAAATTACTGAAGATATATGAGTGGCTTGAAACACGTACTTTAATGTGTCTTTAATACATTTTGTACAAAGTCCGTCAAATCCGAGGAATAAAAATCAAAGTGAAATACCTAATACAGCTTATGTTTAAATGTAAAGCTTATTACTAACATTTATCCTAAAATGCACAATACACTCAACTTCAAAATATTTAATAAATCATTATATTGTCATTCATGGTGATGTAACGACTATCATTTTGTTTTTGGCTATTCTATGAACTCTTTTTTCCCGAACTATAGTTTCTTACCTTAATTACCACTAAAATTAAACAAATGAGTAGGTGTGATTGCATCTGTCCTCTTTGTTTATTTTTGTTGTTGGTGTTGTTGTTGTTTGCTAATCTGCATTCACCCCCAGCCAAATTGATCAATTCTATATTTAAGACATTTATTTAGTTCAGTTTATTTATATAGTGCCAAATCACAGCCAAAGTTGTCACAGGTCACTGTACCAACCATTCAGATATTTATAGTGTGAATCCCCATAAATCTTTATCAACAAATATTAATTTTATTCTTGTAGATGATGGTTTGCCAGCTTGCCACAGTTCATATATTTGCCAATTTCAACTAATTGTTTTTATTTATTTATTTATTTATAAGACCTAACTTCCCAATTTATCAGGAAATTGGGAATTCCTATTAGGAAATTAGGAAAATTCCTAATTTTTATACATTTTGGTCTCAAAAGTCAAAATATTTAAATTCTTTACTGGAACAGCATAATAAGTTCTTTGGCAAGTTAGGTCAAATTAATCATGGATGGTGGTATAAATTTATAAATGAGCGTCTGCACTGCCTTTCATAGAAATGCTACAGAGCGCATTACTGCAGACACATTTATTCAAGTACGTATTTTTAAGATGTAAAAACAAACATTTCTAGTGATACCTTTTTTTAAGTTATAAAGACTATATAATGTGGGAAAAATAAAAAAGCGTTTTGTGGTTTTACTCTAAATTAAACCACAATTAAAAGATTAATTGTTGCAAGTACAACCTGAATTTTGAAAAAAGTTGTGGCGTCATGCACAGCCATGATTTGCAAAACTCATAAACCCATTTTGTATTCATAACGAAAAAATTGACTTCATGGCATAACACTCAGAAGTTCTCATAGGTAAAATCATCCATGCATCGTCTGTTTTTATTTAGTTATTTTGATGCCGTCAATAAAGATGATTATTCTTAACAAATCATTAACCCCCTTTTTTTTGGTCAGAATTGTTTCACATGCTCTAATAACATCACAACCTTTTAGTCTTCCTTAACGGACCACATAGAAATACACACAAATGAAATTTTTGATCCTATATTTATCATACCATACAATAATGCATGCCTTTCAGTTTTTTTTTTTTTTTTACCTCCATCTCTGTACTTTCCGTGCATTCTAAATTTACTCCATCTCACCTAAACTCTTCTTCACTGCTTTTCTGAGTACTTGAAATACTTCATTGTTGTGACCTCTGCTCCTTGTAGCATCACTGTTCCACCGGCCCCCGCTCATTCACACACATGTACTCTGTCTTACTGACAGAATACTGACTTTCAGTCTTGTTCTTTCAAGTGCATACCTCCGCCTCTCCAAGTTCTCTTCCACCCGTTCTCACCACAGATCACAATGTCATCAAACATCATAGTCCATATGATTCCTGCCTGACCTCCATCACCAAAGCAAACAAGGAGCTCAGAGCTGATCCTTGATGCAATCCCACCTCCACCCATCTCTCTCTCTTTTTTTCAAATTTTCTCTCTCTCTCTTTATTTATTTATTTATTTATTTATTTACCTTGCACCTCCCTGTATCAGGGCCATTCAACAACATTGCTCAGGGGGCCACAGTTTCTGAAAGCCAACAGCTCGAGGGCCGGACATCCAGTGATTAAAATCATTATATAAATAAATCAAAGTTCAAAATGATCTGTTATCTTTTAAATTTGTTTATTTTATTGCATTGAATCATAAATGCAATAACCAGAATGCAAAACCCAACCCGTCACCCCCAATTTTTTATTTTTTTTCATTAAGTGGGCCGGATTGAAGTCATGGCCCGTGGGCCGCCAGTTGAATAGGCCTGCCCTATGTTCTGGTCTACTCAGTCCTCTCACTGTCCTGTTTGCTTCTTGGCTTACATCTTCCTCTGGATTACTTCCTGTCCGTCATTATTCCATAACCAGGTTTCCTTATCTATTCTCTGTCCAGATGCCGCACCAAGTACCTTCCTACTTGTGTTTCTAATCATTCTTGCTATATTAGGCCAGTCATCTGGAAGCTCTTTCTTACCACCTAGAGCCGAGCAGCTCCTTTCTGAACTATCTCTAATTTTGCTCTCTTCTTCACAACAGTCATTATACACATCACCATCCGATGTGTCTGTCCACGCTCTCACCTGCCCTTACAGTCTCCAATCTCCCTCGGGTTTCTTCTTCTACACAGAATGTAGTCTACCTGTGTACTCCTTCCTCCACTCTTATAGGTCACTCAATGTTCCTCCCTCTTTTGGAAATAGGTATTGACTACATTTCCATTTTCTTGGCAAAATCCACCACTATCTGTCCTTCCTGGTTCCTTTCCTTGACACCTAACCTGCCCATCACTTCCTCATCTCCTCCGTTTCCTGCCCTTTTTATTTTCATTTGTGAAATTGCTTTATTTTTAAATTAAATTTGTGGGGTTTATTTTATTTAATTTTTTTACTAAAAGCCATTTAAAGAGTTAATTTTTTTAAAGTTATTTAAATTTGATATTTTTATATCTGCAGAGATGGCTCTAAAAGATTGACCAGGTTATTGTGGGAAGAATATGTTAAAATATAGTGATTTTATGCAGATATGCAAGAGGAGCTTCTGAGGGTTAAACTAAGAAATTGATTTTAGGGGGAAAAAATACATAGTTTAGAAAATTGTGTAGGCACCAAAAGGCCTACTTCACCACGTTTACCTCAGTGACACATCCTCCCTTTGATTAACAGTCTGTAATCTTTTAGGGAATAAGTTGCTGTAGTTTTTGGGGAGAAATGTCCCATTCTTGTCTGATGTAGGATTCTAGCTGTTCAAAAGTCCTGGGTCTTTACTGGAGTTTTAGTTTTCATGATGCACTGTTTTGTTTTGGTGGGAGGTCTGGACTGCAGGCAGGCCAGTTCAGCTCCTGGACTCCTCTACTATGAAGCCATGCTTGCAAAGTGGGAAGCATAATGTTGACACGTGGCCCTTTTTTCTTTTCACACAAAGATGTCTCTAAAGTCTTGGAATTGTGATATTATGTACATTAAATGATTAGATCAAAGTCTTCCCATCTTTTCTGGGCAACATTATTCTGAAACCGTTTCACCATTTGTAGACATTTGTAGACACTGTTTTTACAAACTAAACTTCTGTCCATCTTTACTTCTGAGAGATTCAGCCACTTTAAAATGCTTTTTTCTTTTCAAATGCACAATGTCATCCCAACTTTTTCAGAATTGGTTGTAGACCTACGACAATCAACCTGCACTCACGCACATCTTAGCTTTGTTTTCTCACTGCTTGGCTTCGTGCATCTCAAGTTAGTGAATGCAGATTAATTTTGATGATTGCCTTCCTGTTAGCTTTGCCTTTTAGTTTGATAATCCCAAAGCTTTCTGTAAGAAGTGTGTTGTGGCTGTAGTCATAACACATGTAGTGTTACATAAGTCTATTTGGAGTTTATCAGGTGATTATTATTTTTTTTTTTGTACTTTTTTTTGTGGGGGTGGGGGGTGGTAGAAGATGGTCACAGCATTTGATCATAAACTTTGCTCTTAATATTTCCAGCTGCAAAGACCCTGCAAATCTTTAACATTGAGATGAAGAGCAAGATGAAGGCTCATACGATGACGGACGATGTGACTTTCTGGAAGTGGATCTCTCTCAACACTGTTGCCCTGGTCACAGACAACGCAGTCTACCATTGGAGCATGGAGGGAGACTCTCAGCCAATCAAAGTCTTTGACCGTCACTCCAGTCTGGCAGGTTGCCAGATCATCAATTACCGCACCGATGCCAAACAGAAGTGGTTGCTTCTCATTGGCATTTCAGCACAGGTAAATAATGGACAGTCACTTCAAATGTAAATTCTAAGGAAATTAAGGAATTTACAAGTCATAATGCAACATTGTTGTGCCTATGTCCTGAAGCATAAATTTTGTATTTCCTTGTTTTTTCCTCCTCCTAAGCAAAACCGTGTTGTTGGAGCCATGCAGTTATACTCTGTGGATAGAAAAGTGTCTCAGCCTATTGAGGGTCATGCTGCTGGTTTTGCCCAATTCAAGATGGAAGGCAACACTGAAGAGTCGACTCTGTTCTGCTTTGCTGTGCGTGGACAGGCAGGAGGAAAAGTAAGATTTATTTGCAGTTCAAAGATGTCTCGACGGGCTAATTGTTTTGGAAGGGGAGAAAAGGCATTTAGTTTTTTGATATATACAGAATCTATATTTATTGCTTTTTAAAATGGTGAGCTTCACAGAAACCAAAAATTATCAATTGCTTCAGTTTGTCTCCTTATTTATTTATTTTTTTCTTCTAGCTTCATATTATTGAAGTGGGAACTCCACCAACTGGAAACCAACCTTTTCCCAAAAAAGCTGTAGATGTTTTCTTTCCTCCAGAAGCCCAGAATGACTTCCCTGTTGCCATGCAGGTACAAAACACTAAAAAGTTTATTTTAAAGGATTTATACAGCATTCATGTCTTTTGTGTACTTCAGGAAATTAGACTTGTGTAAGAAAAAATTAAGGAAATGGCTTTTTTGAAATAAAAGCCTTTTGGAACTTGCTTTTAGTTTCTCACATCTTTTGTTTGTCAACACTTTATTAGTTTTTATTTCTTTTCATGCTAATTTGTCTTTTTCTGCAAATCTAGATCAGTTCCAAGCAAGATGTAGTCTTTCTCATTACCAAATATGGCTACATCCACCTGTATGACCTCGAGACTGGGACTTGCATCTACATGAATAGGATCAGTGGAGAGACCATCTTTGTGACTGCTCCTCATGAACCCACTGCTGGTATTATTGGAGTTAACAGGAAAGGACAGGTATTTCATTAGTTTCTAGAAATAAATTTTAATTGCATGAGTACAAATTTACTTCAGTTGTTGAATATGTGAATTTATTGAGTTAGAGATTAAACAAAATGTAAATGGTAAAGAAATGTTATTACCGTACATATCATTAAACACCAGGACGTAATATGCCTGAAGATCTGACAAATATTAACATTTTGTAGAGTTGCCCTCATCTGAATTGACAGGAAATGACTTGGGCTTGTAAAATCTTGTTAAGTCTGTAGAGGAACATATATCTGTGATATATTATCCATAAATTAAACGGATTAATTCATTTTTCTGGACTGAATAATATCGTGCATTGAAATTAAATGTGACGTGAGACGTTAATTTTCTTTGACCCATCAAATGAATGCGGTCATTTATTAACAGAATCAAAGTTTAACATCACACATTTACATTAATTTGGCAAAATTGATTACAACAACAGCTTAATTAATTAGCTTTACAGTCAGGAAAACCATACGGGGATGATTTTCCTGCTTCACAACAGACATTTCTGAAAATATCTGGAATGATTTCTAGCAAGATAGAAGAGTTTAAAGATGGAAATGAAGTTTATCTTGAGAGAGATGGGTGAGGGAATTTGTCTGTTATAACCAGAACAACACGCTCCTTTGGACCAGCTCAACCAACGGTACACTTTGCGGTTGAAGATCGACTCTTTTACCTTTGCAGACGATAGTTCGGCCTCGGCGTAGAGTTCTCTTCAAACACTTTCCAGCGTCTCCGTAAGGATAGTAGGGAACCGTTCGGAGTGGTGAGATCATCCCAGAACAGACTTCTTCATAGTTCCTCTGAACTTCTCTTGTTCAGCTTAGTTGCTGTTGTTCTCCAGCATTCTGAACTCTGCATTCTCTCTCCGCACTCTCTTGCACTCTATTTCAGCCTACTACTGCACTCTCTCCTGAACTAGGAAGTGTTAAACCTTTTAAAGAAGTCACTTCCGGTTCATTTGAGAACTTCCTGATTGGTCGATTGACCGAACAGGGGTGTGTTTTAGTGATGTAAGAGGTTATTAAAAGTCAAGGGAAAAAGATTAGATTGTTTAAGAACAGACAGAAGATGTTATGAAGATCCCGAGACTCCGTGTAGTCAGTTCTCTAATATCTTTCTGTAAAAGTTAAACATGACATTTCTTTCCAGTAAACTTACAGTTGACCGAAACTTGACCTTTGACCAACTTACACTTGCTCATTTCAGACAGAAGATCAAGAAAAATGAATAATTACTCTGTAACAGACCTTAACTTGATTTCTACTTTGAATGAGGATTAAAAATCCATTAATACTGTTTCACAGTTGATTTAAAATGAGTAGTTCACTTCAACATTTAAAATGGTTTGAACTAACACACTTTGATTATCAAGACATTTGTAAGATAGTAATGATAATAGAAAAAGAGAGTGTTCTTTCATTTGATCAGTGCAGGACACTTAGAAAGTCTCTGGATGGACTTGATTTTGTGTTTCTGGACTCAAATCAATGAAATACAGTTTTTGTCCCAGGACGGCCCTCAAGGTCAGGATTTGACCTGAGGCTTAGTTCACTACAAGTCCATATTCTGTGTAGTCACAGCTTGCTGTCAACTGCAGTCGTACCTGCAGTAATTACCTAATGATGTTCACTGGGCTAGGTATGTTTATTAGAAATGCTGTCCAGGTTTAAATGTGTGTGATTAAAGATGTTAGATGAGTGGTTAGTGAAAGCTCAAATTAAATATCTTGGTTATAATTTTGCATTCATGAATATTGTTTTTTATTTTAATTTTAAATGAAATGTTTAAATGTCTTTTTACATTCAAATGTATATAAACATTCATATGCCTGTGCTGCCGAATCAGTGCCCGTACATAAACTGGGGTTTTATGTGGATTTATTATGGATGACATTTGTTGGTGATTCACTTTCCCTCTGGTGTCAGACACTTTCTATATCAGCGTGGATCCTCAAGTGTGACCTTGACGGAGGCAAACTGTGAAAATATCTTGCTGCAGCAGCATTTTCAGAGTCAGGCAGCATGTTATGGCCACAGTGGGAAGCCTAAGCTTAGCCAGGCAGACTACATGATCTAATCCTGTTACTTCTCCTTGCTCTAACCTGCGGGCCCTTCATGCACAGCTAAGGGTGTTGCACATGTACACAGTAACACTAAATGAAACATTATGGTATTTATGACAGCATGACGGAATCCCAATGTGTAAAGAATCTGATAAGTACATGTTTTCGAATATGTCACCTTAAGCTGTTTGTTAAGCTCCAATGAAATCATGTCTATCTGAGACAGACCGTTTTAGCCGTGCACAGGTCTTCACCCCCATCCAAACACCTACAACCACCTCCTACTCATTCTAGGACAGGACTGTTGATGGTAACTAAATTACGCAGGGGGCCACAGCTACTGAAAGAGCTCAGGGGCCGGACTTCCATCAGTTTCTGTTATTAAGGAAGTTGTTTTATGGTTTAAAATCTAGTTTTATTTAAAATGAACCCATTGGTGGGCCGAACTGAGTTCATCCGTGGGCCTGGTTTGGCTCCCGGGCCACCAGTTGAATAGCCCTGTTCTAGGATGTTTTTTCCTGTGTCCATGCAAGTGGGAGAAGTATTTGTGAAACACCTCACCTAACCTCTGCTCTCTGGATGAGCGCGGGATGATCATTTATAACAGAAATCTCGTCCCACAATGCAGAGTTGGGTGACCCTGAGTCCAGCTGGCGGCCCATCTCCTCCAGGAGTTCAGCTTGACATGCTGACAATAGTGTGACTGCATTGAGAGAACACACTGTCCTGCAAATGTGTATATTCTTTGTAAAGTTGAAGCGGTGAGGCGTCCTGATTTAGCTGCGAGATAAATGTTAGTGGATAATGAAAGCGACCTGCAGCTGAGGGCTCCACAGCAGGGGTTTGGTCAGCTCATCCATCCCCTGTATTTCCATTTTGGAGTAGCCTTTGGTGAGAAACCTGCTCCTAAAAGGGCTCAACAAATAACGATTAACTTTCCTCATACAAGCTGGGACAGCTTGTAAAAGCTATTTGGTTGGTGTAGAAGCTGATGGGAGCCTCTTTCTATCATACGGATCTCGTTCTGTCCCCTCTGCATCCTGATTGCAGGCCACGAGATGCCCACTTTTGAAGCTGTCTACAGACATAATGCAGGTCACTTTCCACAGGAGATGCTGCATCTGTGCCGCTGGGTGGCCTCAAGTGTGGAGCTAGGAAAGTGGAGTCATCCTCCTCTTCCTCCATGTCATCCATGTCAAGGAGATTGGAGTTAGCATCAGCATCTGCCTCCTTCTGAGCTATTCTGAGTCCCCCGCTGTCCACCAGCCCTTTGAAAAGTGTTGGCATGACCAGGGACCCCTCTTCCATCATGTTCATCCAGCTTGTGGTGGCTTGCAGCTGATTGCTGTAATCACTGTTACAGACGGGCACGGGTCCCGACTGTTCGCAACTGCCATTCTCATCCTCCTTTAAAAGATTTTTTTCTGGCATGGAGGAGTAATGCAGACACACCTGTGGGTTCGCCGGTGACGCTTGTGCACGTTTGACACCCATTCATGCTATACAAATTAGGTGAGGAACCCTACCCAAGATGGAAGCCCTGTCAGACATGGGCACAGGCAGGATACAGCCTCCTTGGCATTGGGTTCAAACACTTTGGTGGGGGGTAGGTGCAGTAGCTTTGGTGAGAGACAGGGATTTAGCTTGTCGTGATATGATAGCTGTCCATGGCTAGTGCTAGCAGCAGGGTTAAAACCGAGCTAACAGCTCTTTGTAACACGTTAGCTAGAAAGAGATCATAAGCAAGCTCATGCTACACCCAAGAAATGCCAGCTCGACTTGACGTACACGTTTAAGTTACACCTGCAATTGCACAGTTACTTAAAACCAAGTGGCAGCATGAACAGCTCGACTTGCCTCGGTCACTGCTCTTAAATGTAACAAAGATACTTCTCATGAAGCACCAACTTACTCAGAACAATTCAAACTGAAGATGGAAACTGCGCTCAGCGGCGTGCTCCTTTATGGGACGCCTGGGAACAGTTTGGCAGCTAACCTAGCTAGCCTGAACGTGCTGAGTGAGCTTGGATGTAGTTTCTCACGGGAAGAAAGCGAGAATGAGTAGGAGGTGGCCGGTTGACCATGCGTGGTGACGGGGGCGGAGCCCTGAGCACGGCTCAACCGCTCTGTTCAGACGTGACGTTATTGGAGCTTCGGTAGTTGGTCATGCTGGAGTGTTTCCCAAAGTGAAACATAGTGGTGTTGGGTGGGGGAGTACTGTAATTTTTATTTTTATTTTTTTTTACTGAACCATTTAAACCAAGCTCTTTTGAGATATGTTAAGTTATTACCGGTAAATGTATCTTGGGATAGTATATATTGTAGAATTAGTTGGGTAAACTTTTATTTTATTTTGTAGATTGATAGATTAAATGCATAGAATTGAAATATTCAAAGTCGTTAGTTCAATCCAGAATAATGTCGTCTTAAAATGCCTTTAAAAAAAAAAAAGATAGGTTTAATTTTTTTTATATATCTTTTTTTTTTTTTTTTTTTTTCCTAGGTGTTGTCAGTATGTGTGGAGGAGGAGAACATCATTCCATACATCACCAATGTGCTCCAGAATCCAGACCTGGCTCTTCGCATGGCTGTACGCAACAACCTTGCTGGTGCTGAGGAGCTGTTCGCCCGCAAGTTTAACACACTCTTTGCAGCAGGAAATTACTCAGAAGCTGCCAAAGTGGCAGCCAACGCACCTAAGGTACTGCCAGTGTGCTGCTATACACCCATATATGACATACAAGCTTAAAATCGCAACACTAAAAATGTTTCTACAACCCTTTGCAAAAAATAATGTAATCACTACTATAGGAGGATGTTCCTAGTTTAATTTTGTTTAAAAAAAAAAAAAATCAGATATGCCACAATACTATATATTTTTTTCCAAATTATTGTGTAAGGAAATAATAAAAAATAATTTTAGTCTGTCACTATTGCTGTTTATTTTATTTATTTAGTATATTTTACCCTTTATTTTAGATCAAGTACAGAAAATATAGATTCACTCTGTGATTTGTAGTCTTAAAATAAACACCTGCATCAAATGAAATTTGCTTATTAGGCTTCAGTTAAAGAATGCTCACGCCTTGATCGACATAAATCATGGTTCCAACGTGAATCTCAGTTGAAACAAAGCAGAGGATTATGAAACTTAAGAAGGTAAATCCTCACTAAATGATGCAAAAGAGGTTTCTTGTTCTCAGTCAGCTGTATCTAAATTCTGGACCAAAATATAAAAGCTGTAAAAGAGAAGCATACTGACAAGACATTTAAGCATCATGATATAAAACCTAAAGATTAAAGTCTTGAAAACAGAAGCTGCACAACAAAACAAATAAGAAAGAAGTGGGCAGAAACTGGACTTAATGTCTGTGATCAAACTGGATGAAATCACCTAAAAGGAATAGGATTTGTATTCAGAAGAGTCAAATGAAAGCCTGACTCTTCTGAGGTGCCAAACAGAAGTTCAAGAAAATGACTGCATTAAGAAAACGTCTATTTTCACTCATTGATGACGGTCATTACATGTTCAATAAATACCAGTCTACATTTCTTATTCTGGCACTTGAAAGGATGTTTGGTGATGATGGCTTCAAATTTCATGATGATAATAATACATCTTGCCACAGGTCAAAAGGTCTTGAAAACTTTCCGTCAAGAAAGCCACATAATGTCAGTGGTATGTCCTTCAAACAGTCCAGATCTCAAAGCAGTTTAAAAATATTGAAAATTGAAGAAAATGGTCAAAGGCAAGACTCTAACCTGCAAATCTGATCTGGGAATAGCAATAGGAGACAGTTGGAGCCAGACTGATGAAGAGTACTGTCATCCCTGGTTCATGATCAGAGAATTCAAGCCATTTATAAAAGCCATAAGTGCTACAAAGTTGTAACGAGGAAGAGTTTTCCCTCACGAGTACATTTTTTTCAGGTAATAAGGTCTAATGATCACTTCTCAATATCTTTGGTACATGGTTGTTCTTGTACTGTAGCATGGCTACTAGCTAGGGTTGCACCATTTGTTGTTAACAAAAATGGCAAGTTCTCCTCATCTCCGCTTAAGTCTCTTTGATGTCCCTGTCTGCTTGGATCGAACTGAAGCCACTTGTACTAGAGATGGAGTCCGTAATATAGACATTAAAACAGTGTTTCACAAAAGCAGAAAAGACTGCAGTCAGTCTGCTCCTGACTGGGGACTTGAGTTCATGTATCTTGTTGTTCAGGGAGCCAACATTTCACTTAACAATGGGCAGAAGAGTTGGTCTAAAAGTATCCCTCCATTCAGCCTTCCTCCTCCTGTTTCTTTTAGCACCAGTCCTCAATCATTCTTCAATAGCTGCTTTGCCATTGATAAGTGCGACTCCACTCGGCTCTCGTCTGATCAGTTCTTGGGTGTAGGTGATTTGCCACTGTGATTTATTTCCCCGCAATGTGGGTGAGATCATCAATGCAAAGTGGGGGGTATTGTAACAGGTCATTGTATTTAAGCCACTCCGTCCGTTGCGGTCCTTAATTGCCCTATAATCAAACTTCAGTTTCTTTAGCTTATCCTGGCACTGCTTAAGTAAGTTTAGGTGTACCCACGCTGCACCATCATCTCCAATATTGTGCTGTAAATGTGCTCATTTCTTGTGGTGCTGTTCAGCTCGTGTTGAATCCTAACATCAGCCAATAAAGTTGGGAAGGTCTGTACCTCATTGTTGGTCCATGGCACTATTTTTGGAGCTTCCATACCAGAAGCTAACGTAAACATGACACATTCAACCTGATCAGAGAGGAAGTGGAGGTTCAGACGTAGTTGGCAGTTTTTCTGGGCGGGACATCCTGTGACTTATCTCTGATGGAATCAACGACTTCAACAGAGTTGCATGTAATGGTTGCTGCTTTACCAGCTCCGTGGTAACAGAACAATAATAAGATATAGAGCAATACTGATTTTAAAAGTTGAATTTCCACTCACATTTTCATTCTGTTGTTTTTGTTTTTACATTCCAGGGCATTCTGCGAACTCCAGACACCATCCGTAGGTTCCAAAGTGTTCCAGCCCAACCAGGCCAGACGTCTCCTTTGCTCCAGTATTTTGGCATTCTGCTGGATCAAGGCCAACTCAATAAGTTTGAGTCTTTAGAGCTGTGCAGGCCTGTGCTTCAACAGGGTCGCAAGCAGTTACTAGAGAAATGGCTAAAGGAGGACAAGGTAAATGGCCTTCCAAAAGGTTTTCAAACTCTTTTTGTACTTGTTGGTAGTTTTATTCAGTGTGAAAACTCTTACACTCCTCAGTTGTGAGTTGCTTTGGCTAAATGTGTTTGTTAAATCAATTCAATGTAGCCTAATTAACGGCTCATGTTCAGAGAAGTTGTGTGCCCCAGTCACCAAAATCAGGTCAATAAATTATTTTTGTGCAATTTATAGATGTGAAACTTTACAAACCGAGCTGCCGCCTCCTTCATCTGAATGATGAATTTAGACTTTGTGTCCATATTTCAGAACGACTTCTCTAAGTGTTTTCAAACTGTTTTTCTGGTTTACTGAAACTTGTTCAGTAATGCTTTTGTGTCTCAGCTACATTCTGGTTTGTGTTTTCAGCTGGAGTGCTCCGAGGAGCTTGGAGATTTGGTGAAATCTGTAGATCCTACTCTAGCCCTCAGTGTTTATCTCAGAGCCAACGTCCCCAACAAAGTCATTCAGTGCTTTGCAGAGACTGGACAGTTCCAGAAGATTGTCCTTTATGCCAAGAAGGTTTGTGACACCCAAGAATTGTACTTATTGTAAGTTTGTCTGTATTACAGAACAATGCAGGAGATGTCAGAAGTTTATTTAACCTGTTTTTATTGTTTACATTGATAACTTGAACATAGGATCTAGCAAATGATGAGGATCTGTTAATCCTTTAGGTTGGCTACACTCCAGACTGGATCTTTCTGCTAAGGAACGTGATGCGGATCAGTCCAGAACAAGGCCTCCAGTTCTCCCAGATGCTGGTTCAGGATGAAGAGCCACTTGCTGATATCACACAAGTAAAGCCAATTGGCTGATCTTATAATTCTGCAGCAGAAGTGAAGTTTCAAGGATCGACTCTACCAGATGTGTTAAAGTAGAATAATAAATGAGCCTCAGCTCTACTGTCATTAAACAGTATTTTGAATGACACTATTCATTCATATATATGACTTGTTTTTCTCCAGATTGTGGATGTCTTTATGGAGTATAACCTGATCCAGCAGTGCACATCCTTCCTGTTAGATGCCCTGAAAAACAACAGACCCATGGAGGGACCTCTGCAGACACGTTTGCTAGAAATGAATTTGGTTCATGCACCACAGGTATTTAAAAAAACAAAAAAACATTAATAAATCTGGTCTAGAAACGCTAGTAAATTAGGTTTAACCAGAATTAAATATCAGTGACTATTTGGTTTAGTCAAAAAAAAAAGAAGAAAAGATTAAAAAAAGCATTTATTTTATTCTTTTTAATAATCTTCATTGATTCAAAGTTTCAAATGGGGTAAAAAGTTTTTATTCTTTTACTGCGGTCTTTTGTAGGTTGCAGACGCCATCCTTGGCAATCAGATGTTCACTCACTATGATCGCGCCCATGTGGCACAGCTGTGTGAGAAGGCTGGCCTCCTGCAGAGGGCTCTGGAGCATTATACTGACTTGTATGACATAAAACGTGCTGTGGTCCACACACACCTTTTAAACCCGGAGGTACAAACCAAATTAAACTGTGCAATTGAAATGTGTAGTTTGTGTGTGCTCCATTTAAAGAAAAAATGTGTGATGGGAATTTGTGGTCAGTATAATTGCTTTGCTGCACTCTTTCTTTGTCTTTGCAGTGGCTGGTGAATTTCTTTGGCTCCCTCTCAGTGGAGGACTCACTGGAGTGCCTCAGGGCTATGTTGTCAGCCAACATTCGTCAGAACCTGCAGATCTGTGTGCAAGTTGCTTCCAAGTACCACGAGCAGCTTACGACTCAGGCCCTCACTGAACTTTTTGAGTCATTCAAGAGCTTTGAGGGTAAGTTAAACATATTTGAAAGTGTTATACACCTTGTATCAAAACAAAGTTATATTTACCTGATGTTGAGTTATGCTAAAGCCTGATCGTAATGGTGATAACCAGTGCTTAATTTGAGCCGGGTCCTGTCGGAACGGGATCCGGGAACTCTTTATTTTGACAGGGTGTGTTCTGGTAACTGTTTGCTTGGATCCGGTAACTCTCAGGCTTACTAATAATAAAGTTATGAACAAATATGACTGTCGTGAATGAATAAAACTCACACTGGATATGTAAACTGAAAATAATTACATAAACACTCATTTTAAACACAACAGACACTTATGAGCATGCAAGCTGCCTCTTAAAGTAGCGTGTCTACTTTAAAAAAAAAACAACCTCCTCCCCTGAAAGAGTGGGGCGCATTCCAAACTAACCAAGTAGTTGTGCAAGAGCTCACAGGCAGCTGTTTGGAGGTTTTGCATGTAGAGTTGGACAACAATGAGCAGGGACAGCGACTTACTTGATGGATTTGTCAAGTAAGGGTAGGGTAAATGGTCTGCACTTATCTAGCGCTTTTCTATTTTAGCAAGATGCTCAAAGCGCTTTACAACACAGGCTGTGCCTCATTTACCCATTCGTATAGCACTCTACTAGATCTATACAAAGAATAATCAGAGCTTTATCACATTCATACACCGATGGGACACACATCGGAGGCATTTTGGGGTTCAGTGTCTTGCCCAGGGACACTTTGGCATGTGACTGCTGGTGGAATCGAACCCGCAACTCTCGTATTGGAGGACGACTGCTCTAACCACACAGCCACAGCCGCCCAACTCAGCCATAGCTGCCGAGGGGTGGAGGATCTTGACAGAAGCGGAGTGTTTACAAATGTAGGTAAATGTAGACATTTAACAACCCGTTAAAATACACCAAAATCCAGGAAATCCATCTACTTTATTCAAAATTTTATGGGGGAGGACCCCCCTGGCCCCCACCCCTGCCGCCAGCCCACTCACTATTTGTGTTCCCGCATCAATCAGTTTACAAATTAAGCCCTGGTGATAACAATACATAAACTTTTTTTTTTTATCTTGTGCTTTTTTCAACTTATCCTATTTTCTGTCATATCTACCCACCCACACTTATAAATACCGTTTTCTAAAGAAAATGTATTATATTTTTTATCTGTCTGAATTTGGTGTGTAATGGGCATTACCAAGAATTTCTGTGTGAAAACAAAATATTTTGGTTACGTCCAATATTCAGTTAAGATTTATTTTTGTTATTTTTTAGGGTTGTTCTATTTCTTGGGCTCCATTGTAAATTTCAGCCAGGATCCAGAGGTCCACTTCAAATACATTCAGGCTGCCTGTAAGACGGGCCAGATCAAAGAAGTGGAGAGGATCTGCAGAGAAAGCAACTGCTACGACTCTGAACGCGTGAAGAACTTCTTGAAGGTGAGAAATGCGGTGCAGAGTGTATCTGTGAAATAAAGCTCTATGATTTTGTCCAGTTTTACAAGTAGAGTATTTTGCTTATAACATCTCCCCCCACCCACAGGAGGCCAAGCTGACTGACCAGCTGCCTTTAATCATTGTGTGTGACCGCTTTGATTTTGTCCATGACCTGGTTTTGTACCTTTATCGCAACAGCCTGCAAAAATACATTGAGATCTACGTACAGAAGGTAGAGTACCACCTTCAGGGGACTGTACCGATGGTGCAGCTGGAATAAGGTCTTCACAATTAGTTGGTCTCCTATTCCAGGTAAACCCAAGCCGTCTGCCTGTAGTCATCGGTGGTTTATTGGATGTAGACTGTGCTGAGGACGTGATCAAGAACCTGATCATGGTGGTGAGAGGACAGTTTTCCACTGATGAACTTGTTGCTGAAGTGGAGAAGAGAAACCGGTAAGCAAGAAAAAAATTAAACTGAAGAAGAAGAATTGAGCATGTTGCCTAAATCTTAGTGGTGGTGTTCTTTCGACGCAACCTGGGCTCGAACCGGCAGCCTCAGGATTTCAAGGCTGCGGCATCTAACCACTGAGCTACTGCAGCCCACCTAAATCATGTCGTATGTAAAAATGTTAGCTTCTGTTCCTGTGTTCCTTCAGACTGAAGCTGTTGCTGCCCTGGTTGGAGGCTCGCATTCATGAAGGTTGTGAGGAACCTGCAACTCACAATGCTTTGGCCAAGATTTACATCGACAGCAACAACAACCCTGAGCGCTTCTTAAGGGAAAACCCCTACTATGACAGCCGTGTGGTGGGCAAGTATTGTGAAAAGAGAGACCCCCACCTGGCCTGTGTGGCTTATGAAAGAGGACAGTGTGACCAGGAGCTCATTCTTGTGAGTTCAAGCTGAAAGCATTTTTTGTGAGATTCTTATATTGTAATTTATGTTTTCAAGTTGTTTTAAATTCATATGAACATATAACTGAGTTGTTGTTCCTCTTTAACTTCATCTTTTGTATGTCCTGCTCTAGGTGTGCAATGAAAATTCACTATTCAAGAGTCTGTCCCGTTATCTTGTACGTCGCAAGAACCCCGAGCTTTGGGCGAGTGTACTGCTGGAGACGAACAACTACAGAAGACCACTCATCGACCAAGTCTGTGCCTTTACTGTCTTTGAAAGTCACTTATAAAAGTTGTGTATATGCTGTTTATAAAACATTAGTAGTCCGTAGTCCCTCATTTATCGTGGGGGGTAGGTACTGGACACCCCTGCAATAAGTGCAAATCTGCAAAGTACAGTTGCTATGTGTTTACTTTAGTATCTTTTTATTTATTTAACACTAAGTTAAACTGACAGATTTCTGAATTGAAACAACAAACCAAAACGGTTCAGTCAACTCATAAATTTAAATCAACTAAACTAAAGCAAAAGTTTATTTAGCAATTTATTAATCAAGATAGCTTAATGTTTATTCACTCAACTTGAAATTTTAATTTGAGTGAGCTGCTCGTTTTCCAGTTCTGCAGACCAACCCTGCATCGACAAAGCCCACAAGATTCTAAACTCTTAAACCTGCTTAATTTAAACTGTACAGTAACTCACCAGCTCTGCAGAAACAGTGGCTCGGTTCCGGTCCGATGAGTCCAGATCTGGATGAAAATGGTCCCGGTGGAACACCGGGCGTATGGGCGGCACCTCCCTGCTCGGAACTCCTCGTAGGCCGGCAAGCCACTCAGATTGACCAATGAGTCTGGAGGTTCGGTTCTGGTCGGCTCTCTACATCCGCTGGGCACCAAAGTCACTGTATGAATAAGGACCAAACTTTTTCCCGATCAGATCAAAACTTTCCCTCTAGTATTTCAGCAGAAGACAACAGGGCTTCCGGGCAGGGCACTGTTGGCTTCTGGGAAATGTAGTCGTTATGAGCAGGAATACAGTATAGGCTTACTGAGAGAAAACTACAAAAATGGCACCACCTGTCTGAAGTATTTTTACTTTTTTGTTAACTTTTTACTGTACTGTCTCAACCACACGAGTAATATTAAAGTTGACAGTCATGTATCGTGTACAATCTTACTTTAAAAACAAAAAACAGAGAGCGAGTCCGTAAAAGTCGAACCGCAAAGTAGCGAGGAACTACTGTACATATTCAATTATTTTAGATTTCAAAATAAGCGTGGTGAAACACTGCCAAGTCAAAGCTGTAAACTCAAGAGAAATGCTTTTTTTTTTTCCACAAAATACTTCTGCACACTTCATGTAAGTTGGTTTTGTCCTGTTTGTGTGAGCGTCACGTGTTGTCCCTCTGCTGCAGGTCGTCCAGACAGCTTTATCTGAGACCCAAGATCCAGAGGAAGTGTCTGTCACAGTCAAGGCCTTCATGACCGCTGACCTTCCCAATGAACTCATCGAGCTTCTAGAAAAGATTGTGTTGGATAACTCCGTCTTCAGTGAGCACAGGTGATGCACCTGCTTTGTCCTTAACCTCAGACATGGCAACATATTACTTCTTTAATGTTTGTATTGAATTATTTCTTGCACTTGTGGATTTTAATATGTAATCATGACGTTTACGGAACACCTGCTGTATTGGTTATTTCAGAAACCTCCAGAACCTTCTCATTTTGACAGCCATTAAAGCTGATCGAACTCGTGTCATGGAGTACATTAACCGTCTAGATAACTACGATGCCCCCGACATCGCAAACATCGCCATCAGTAATGAGCTGTTTGAGGAGGCCTTTGCTATTTTTAGAAAGTTTGATGTCAACACCTCTGCTGTGCAGGTGACGCACTTTTTACTTTAAAGTTGTTTACTTCTTGATCGTGCTTCTTATCGAAGTTGTACTTCCTGTTTTAAATGTTTTACAGAAATCATATATGATTTAACTTTTGACTTATCTTTGCTGCAATGGCTACTGGAATGTTATACTTGACTTAAATTTAAATGTTCTCCTGTGTCCAGGTTCTGATTGAACACATTGGTAACTTGGACAGAGCTTATGAGTTTGCTGAGCGCTGCAACGAGCCTCCAGTGTGGAGTCAGCTGGCCAAGGCCCAGCTCCAGAAGGGGATGGTCAAAGAAGCCATAGACTCTTACATCAAGGCTGATGACCCTTCTGCTTACATGGAGGTGGGACAAGCTGCAGCCCAAAGTGGTAAGCTGCTCTTCATTTTATTTATCACATGAACTTGAGCTGTGTTTTAAATACTGAGGACATTGTAATAATGCTTTGTTATTAAACCATCAATAATTAGGATGTTGCATAAACTGAGTTTGCTTTTTCATTTTTGTTTTTTACTTGTTTGCAGGAAACTGGGAGGACCTGGTGAAGTTCCTGCAGATGGCTCGTAAAAAGGCTCGTGAGTCATACGTTGAGACGGAGCTGATCTTTGCCCTGGCTAAAACCAACCGCCTGGCTGAGCTGGAGGAGTTCATCAATGGTCCCAATAACGCTCACATCCAGCAAGTAAGCCTTCAGAAGCACGTCTACACCCAGCAGGGAGTACTCTGCTCTTCATCTGACGCTCTCACTTTCTTTAGGTGGGTGATCGTTGTTATGACGATAAGATGTACGAGGCTGCCAAGTTACTTTATAACAACGTGTCCAACTTTGGCCGTCTTGCGTCCACGTTAGTGCACCTGGGAGAATATCAGGCTGCTGTGGATGGAGCCCGCAAGGCCAACAGTACCCGCACCTGGAAAGAGGTAACCAGTGACAAATCTGGGTCACTATTCAATTACTTTATGTTCATTTATTAATACGATGTAATGTCTACTTACGTATACATTGTTTTTTTTTTTATATCCTCATTATCTGCTGTTCTAGGTGTGTTTTGCTTGCGTGGATGGAAAAGAGTTTCGTCTGGCCCAAATGTGTGGCCTGCATATTGTCGTCCATGCCGATGAACTGGAGGAACTAATCAACTATTACCAGGTGTGTGGGGCTGCTGAAGTAATAGTTTTTAAAAGAAAGTTACGTTGTTGCAAATGTAAAAGATGAATTAATGAACTAATGCAGAACTAGAGAAATTGCATTTCCTGTGAAAATGCACTGTGCATGCTTATTGCTGAAGAACTTGCTGAAAAACAGCTAAAATTAGCTAAAAAAAAAAAAAGTCAAGTCAGATTTATTTATAGAGCACATTTAAAACAGAAACTGTTACCAAAGTGCTTAACAAAAATATCACAACATCAAATGAAAAGTAGCACGATATATTTACAGCACATGGAATAAAAATATAAAACCGAAAACACAATTAGAAACAATGAAATACTAAATCAGATGGAAAGCTGAAATGGAAGAACAAGCCTTAACTAGCAGAAGAAAGCAGAACACATTTTTGCTGAATTAGGTAGAAATGAGCACAAAAATTAGGATATTAGCTTTAAAAAATCTGAAATTAGCAAAAAGTAGCTGAAAAGGCAGAATGAAGCTTAAACTACCAGAAGGGAGCTGAAAGAGCTGAAATGAGCTCAAAATTTTTGAATTGGCTAAAAAGGCTAAAAGTAGCATAAAACCCGCTAAATAGTAGCTGAAATAGCAGAAAAAGTTCATACTTATCAGAAATTGCATGACAAATTTTGAATTTATATGAAAACAGCTGAAATTAGCTAAAAGGGTAGCTGAAAAGGTAGAACAAGCTTAAATTACCAGAAGAAAGCAGAAAGAATGTTTGCCCAATTAGGATGAAAGAAGCAGAAATGAGCACAAAGTGTAAAATTATCTGGAAAAAAAAAAGCTGAAATTTGCTTTGAAAAAGCTGAAAAGTATCTAAAACATCAGAAAGAAGCTTAAATTACCAGAAGGAAGTGGAGCGAGCACATTTTTTGCTCATTTAGGCTGAAAAAATTTGAAATGAGTGCGAAAAATGTGGACTTCGCTGAAAAAGCTAAAATTAGCATAAACGGCTAAATAGTAGCTGAAATAGCAGAAAAAGCTGAAACTTTCAGAAATAAGCTGAAAGGAGCAAAACAAGCTGAAATTAGCAGAAAGTTAGAAGAAGCACAAATGTTGTAGTTGGCAGAATAAATCTAAAAGAACCTAAAAACAGCTGAAATTAGCTAATAAGTTTAAGTTTGCAGAAGGAAGCTGAAAGAAGCTGAAGCAGAACAAACTGTGAAAGGAGCAATAAAAGGCTGTAAACGGATCTAAAGATTTGAAGGATGTAAAATGAACTCAATTCATTTTCTATGATGAAAAAAAAGTGGCAGAAAATACTAAATATTTCAAAAAGCTAAAGTTGCACTAATACCAAAAGTCATAGCGCCCTTGTCCTGAACGAGCTGAACGTTTTGATAAATGATTTGTTAAAATAGTTTAAAACTGTGGGACAAGAATTGTGCCAAAAAATGTATGGAAGAAAAATGGATCACAATTCACACTATTAGAAATCAAAGATGACGTGTGGATCTGTAAAAGTGATTTAGATTTAGGCCCAAATCAAAACCGATCATTAAGACCTGCAGTATGAACTTTAGTTGCTTCTTTATTGCTGTTATTGAGTGCATGCAAAATAACAGAAGCTGTTTAAGTGAGCTACATAGGATGGTTTTTACCTCCTGAAATAAAAGCATGTAAAGGTGCATATTTACGAGACATTTTGTTTGTTCCATGAAGTACAGTGTGTACAGTAAGTCTGTGTGTCCTGCAGGACCGTGGTTACTTTGAAGAGCTAATCACGATGCTTGAGGCCGCTCTGGGGCTGGAGCGTGCTCACATGGGGATGTTCACCGAGCTGGCCATCCTCTATTCTAAGTTTAAGCCCCAGAAGATGAGGGAACATCTGGAGCTCTTCTGGTCTCGTGTCAACATACCAAAGGTAGGTCTGAAATCTATCATGAGCTCTGCACTTAGCTTCTCTAATGACATTTAAGGCTGTTTCACTGATGGTGAATGAGTCGAGTTTTGAGTACAAGTTTTATTGTAAATTTTTATGAAATTTTAAATGTAAGTTTGTGAAATCATGTGTGCTACTGTCTGTTTCAGGTGCTCAGGGCAGCTGAACAGGCTCACCTCTGGGCTGAGTTAGTGTTCCTCTATGACAAATATGAGGAATATGACAACGCCATCATCACGATGATGAACCATCCAGCTGATGCCTGGAAGGAAGGCCAGTTCAAAGATATTGTCACCAAGGTGATAGAAATTTTAAAAATGCAGTCACAGATTTTAATTTTAATTTTTAAAGTGCACGAAACTGAAACTAAATGAAGGTGAATATAATTAGTTACAAGCTGAATATCCTTTTTTGTAGGTGGCAAATGTGGAGCTGTACTACAAGGCCGTTCAGTTTTATATGGAATTCAAACCATTGTTGCTGAATGACCTGCTCATCGTTCTCTCTCCAAGACTGGACCACACACGGGCTGTGAACTACTTCAGCAAGGTCCTTGATTATTGTTACTGTAAAACTCTGTTTTGTTTTTTTTATACCATAATGGCATTAGACGCGCTGGTGTATAAGCTGCGGGTGTCCACAATTTAATATCAAACTGTGCGCAGCTTCTGGTAGTATGTGCAGCTCTTGTTGTAGTACAAGCATCAACCACCAGGTGGCGTTTCAAAGACTTTAGTTTGCTGTGAACACTCGGACTGTGTGATGGTCACAGGTCTTCATGACCTGCTCTCTGACTCATGGTTCTCCCAAAATGAAACTCGTCCCAATGACGTGATTTAACATTTTTTGTATTTATTTACCAGGATGACTGAGCTGACAGACCTTTTTTTTTTTTTTTTACAAGTCATAATTCACTGGGAGAGAGGAAACACCCCGTTCTCTCTTGCTGTGCGATATTTAACCGTACACGGAAATATTTTTTAAAACTTATTTAGATATGTACCATTAACATACACAAAAATAGGCTACGTACGGTAAATGTTGTTGTTGTTGTTGTTTTTTTCTGAACAATGCCTTTTAGCACGGCTGGTTAAAGTCTAATTTTCTGCTAGAGTGGAAGTGAAACTATTTCCTCAGTCTGGAGGTGACAGAGTTTTTCTGCCCTGATGGATGGATGTTGTTTTCATGTCGATTTTTAATTTTATGAGCATTTATTCTGAATCTGCATGGTGGACAATAATGACACAATCAGCTTGCCATAGTCCACCTTTGTCCAGCTCGCGTTAAAAAGTCAGTTATTAGTTATTTATCTGAGGAGCCAGCAGATTTTTAAACAGGAAATCTGATCAATGCACGTCTTTCATCATTCCTCACTGGTCATTAGGGTGACTTCTGCTCACATGGCCACAGAGTGGGATTATGGGTAGCAAAATTAAAAACATAGAATAAAAAATAAAAAAGTAGCAAAATTGGAGTCATGAGCGACGGAGGCACCTGTCATGAATACCTGTGGCATTCACTCTGTGTGTGTGTCACAAAAACCCACTCCCAAGAGGGGTGTGTGTTGAGCAGCTGTATGACTCCCAGGTGTGTCAAAGGAAAACATCATTCAGTGGCAGGAAGCTTGGCAGCCTGTCAAAATAAAATATAAAAATAAAACATTAAAATAAAATAAATGCATAAATTAGCCTCTCCTGTGTACACGCCACAGAGTCCAAAGTGTGAGGGGGAAAAAGCAGCAGTGACATTTACACATTAAATTACAGTAGTTTTATCTAAAACCTGAAGTTATTTAAGTGAATGCCATGGAAAATGAACCATTGTCTGCTGGAATGTTTTATTTTTAATGAATCATGTGTTTTAGAAAAAAAATTATTATTGGGTTAGCAAACTTTTTATACGTTTTATGACATTTTTTACTTTTGTTGTTTTGGTTTTTTTTTAAGGGGGGTTTATGAGCCAGATGTCAGATAAATCTATTTCATGGAATGTTGGGGACAATAAAGTGACTGATTGGTCGATTGATTGATTGATTGATTGATTGATTGATTGATTGATTGATTGATTGATTGATTGATAGATAAGAGAAAGTCAGGTGAAATTGTCACCATGTGAAAGAGTTTCAAAGATGATAAAAACCTTGGGTACTGTCCTTTAATGACTTTTTTGTTCTGGTTTGTTGTGTAGATGAAACAACTGCCTCTGGTTAAACCGTATCTAAGGTCTGTCCAGAACCACAACAACAAGGGAGTGAACGAAGCACTTAACAACCTCTTCATCACTGAGGAAGACTATGCGGTATGGCATTTTTAGTCCTTTTTTTCCTTCATGTAACTATTTGCTTTCTATAAATCTGTGTTACTCTCAGCACGTTATACTAAATATTGGAAAATATCCCAGAATCAGACTGAATGTTTTCATTCTGTTTGATTTTTCTTTTTAATTATTTTGTCTCCACTGTAGGCACTGCGAACATCCATTGATGCTTATGATAACTTTGACAACATCTCCCTGGCCCAGAGTCTGGAGAAGCACGAACTAATTGAATTTCGGAGGATCGCAGCGTACCTTTTCAAAGGGAACAACCGCTGGAAACAGAGCGTTGAGCTCTGCAAGAAGGACAAGCTCTACAAGGTGCAGTGCCATTAAAATAATAGAAATGTCACACTTCACATGTATTGAGAAGTCTTATTGTAAAGTTACCAAGAACTGTGCAGTAATGCAGACTACCAGATGTGGTCTCTCTCCCTCAAATAAGTTCCCTGACCTGAGTTGTGATGTCGTCCTACAGGATGCTATGCAGTACGCATCAGAGTCCAAAGACATCGAGCTGGCCGAGGAGCTCTTGGCTTGGTTTCTCAACGAAGACAAGAAGGAGTGTTTTGCCGCCTGCCTTTTCACTTGCTACGACTTGCTGCGGCCAGACGTTGTGCTGGAAACCGCCTGGAGGCACAACATCATGGACTTCTCTATGCCGTACTTCATCCAAGTCATGAGGGAGTATCTCACAAAGGTGGGTTGGCCACTATGAGCAGTAAGTCATGCTGAGAGAGCATGCGTTGCAAAGTTTTTAAAGAGAAAAGGTTAGTTTTTGTTGTTGTAGGAACATATAAAAATCGCAGTAAATGAAGGCTAAAGGATCTAAAGCCACTTTGCCGTTGATAAGTGTGACTCCACTCGGCTCTTGTGTTAACGGTTCTTCTCAGATGTAGGTGATTTGACACTGCGACTTGTTTCTCTGCTCTGTGGGCGGGATCGTCAATGCAAAGAGGGCAAAGTGAGCGGCATCAGGTCATTGTGTTTGAGCCACTCCACCCATTGTTTTCCTTTTTGGCCCTATAATTGGACTTCAGTTTCTTTAGCTCGTCCTGGTACTTCTTCTAAGTCTGGGTGTAACCATGCTGCGCCATCATCGCCAGTCTCTGTAAATGCACTTATATGTTGCGGCGCCGTCTGTCAACACAGAGTGGAAGTGGAGGTTCAGATGTAGTTCGCAGTTTTTCTGGGCAGGTCATCCAGTGACATAGCGTCAGAATCATCACCTCGGAGCAGGTCGCTTGGAACCTCAAACAAGGTGGTCCCTTAAAGCAGGCTGAGTGGGGGTGGGTGCCGGCCGTGGGTAGGGCCTTAACGAGTGCAGTCTAGTGTAGAATTGATGAGAGTTGAGACTGAAGCAAAGCGCCATAAATGGGCAAGGAGTGCTGACTTGGATTGATTTGTAAAAACAGATCTGTTCATTAACAGACAGTCAAATCTCCTACACTGTAACAGAGAGTCCCTCAGTTCTTGCTGTTCTCCATTTTTGCCAATCATCTTTTGCTTTTGTCATCACTGGTCTTTGTATTTTTTTTATTTTTTTTTGGATTACATGGTTTAAGCTACTTTTCCATACAAATATTATGCAGAAGTGATGCATAACTTCCGTGCTCCTCACTGTGTATTGATCTGTTATACGGTAGTCCCTCGCTACTGCGCGGTTCGTTTATCGTGGACTCGCTCTATCACGGTTTTTCAAATTAAGACTGGACACCACACATACTGACTGACTGATTGGATCGGCATGCAGCCCAAACTGCAGGATAAACTTCCTGCTGCTGCTGTTCTCCGTGCAGCGCAAAGAAGTGGGCGTGGCCAAGAGTGCTTGCACGTGACTGAGAACATCGGAGGCAGAGAGCTGAAATCATGACATTCTGTGTTCTTTTAGTGCATTTACAGTTTATAAACATTCTCTCTCTCTTGATGGATGGATGGATGGATGGATGGATGGATGGATATCTCTCTCTCAACTACTTACCACTTGTGCTACTATTCCTACTTCGCAGTTTTTCACTTATTGTAGGTCTTCAGGGTACGGATCCCTGCGATAAACGAGGGACTACTGTATAGCAGAAATATAGATGATGGTGCTGCTACCATTAAACAGCACACTGACCTGGGTCAAGAATTTCTCAGATATTACTGTTTTTATGAGCCCATCGAGAGGCAGCCGTATTTAGATATAGTCTCTGTACTTCATTTTCATTGACCCTTTATTTATCCAGGTAGTCTCATTGAGCCACGAGAACTCATTTTCAAGAGAGACCTGTTTTTAGAGAGCAGATGGGGGTTAAGGGCCTTGCTCATGGGCCCAGAGTGGGGCAAATGAGGGTGGGGGCAGGTGTGGGCGCTTCACCTACCCCACCCACGTTTTTGATGTTGTCTGCAGCGGGGCTTGAACCGGCGATCTTCCGATCACAGGCCCACCTTCTCTAACCTTTGTGCCACCACTCCCCTACATTCTCTTGTCATGCCTATAACATCTGATCCACTCAAGATAATTTAAAGAAACTTCATACACATGTGCATCATCACATATATTATTCTTTTCATCACCCCAGCTCCAAGGTCAAGCACACAAATCAAGGTCAAAGTTAAAAAAAGGTATTTGCTTGTCTGGGCCATAACTTCTGATACACTGGAGATAATTTAATAAAACTTGGTATGCATTTGTACATCACTAAACTGTCACAAATCAAGGTCAAAGGTCATACAAGCTCTACTTGTCTGGGCTATTGCTATAGATTAGAGGCTATTGCTGTGTTGACGGGCGTATGTCGTATGCAGTACTCTTGTTATAAGCTCTTCTTGCAGCGAGTTAAAACCACTGTCCGTTTGTGTGTTAAACTAAACTATTTTCTTGAAACATTGCACTGTTTAATTTGTGCAAAAGTTAGTAGCAATTAAGTGTTTGAATCTACCATGGTACTCTTTTCATATCAAATCTGGTTCAGTTTTGTCACACTTGTGTAAGAAACTAAATGAAAAAATGTAGCACCTGATAAGTGTTGTCGTTTGTATAAAAAGTGTCATTTACCAGCATCACGCAAAGGGTTTTTGTGTTTTATTTTTTTAAAGTGACAAAACTTTTGTTTGCACTTTTCTCTGCTAAATTCTGTTTTGGGAGCCTCCTATTTGTTTATTTTCCCCCCTCTTTAAGTTGCCTCTCTGAATTTCCTTTTCAGGTTGATGCGATAAAAGAAAAGGTGAAAATTGAATTTATTTTCTAATCATTCTTTTTGACCCGTTTCCTGTGCCCTGTAGCTTTTTGATTGCAGGAGTAAACATAGCTGAAACTGCATGTCCCACCCCCACCTTCGTCACACACCTGCTTTTGATTGTAAACTTCAGTTGTCCACTAAACCAGGGGTCTCCAACCACCGGGCCGGGACCAGTACAGAGTCTTGGACCATTTGGGTCTGGTCCGCATAAAAAGAATACAAAGTTTGGTTCAGAATTTTTATTTTTTTCTATTTCCATTAGTCTGCATGGTATTTTATTTTGAAAATCCCTTCCATCTCCGCAGTTTTAGCACTTGCTTGACTCAGTCGCAGTTTTTTTTCATGCATCTGTAAACTTTTAAACTAACTTTAGCAAAAATGAGTAAAAACCAATTATTGGAGAGATTCTTTGAAAAAGAACATACAGTGAGGAAAATAAGTCTTTGAACACCCTGCGACTTTGCACGTTCTCCCACTTAGAAATCATGGAGGGGTCTGAAATTTTCATTTTAGGTGCATGTCCACTGTGAGAGACATAATCTAAAAAAAAAATTTAATCCAGAAATCGCAATGTAGGATTTATTTGTGTGTTACTGCTGCAAATAAGTATTTGAACACCTGCCAATAAGCAACAGTTCTGGCCCTCAAAGACCTGTTAGTCCACCTCTAAAAAGTCCACCTCCACTCCACTTATTATTCTAAATTAGAAGCACCTGTTTGAAGTCGTTAGCTGCATAAAGACACCTGTCCACCCAACACAATCAGTAAGACTCCAACTACTAACATGGCTAAGACCAAAGAGCTGTCCAAAGACACCAGAGACAAAATTGTAGACCTCCACAAGGCTGGAAAGGACTAGGAGGCAATTGCCAAGCAGCTTGGTGAAAAAAGATCAACTGTTGGAGCAATTATTAGAAAATGGAAGAAGCTAAACATGACTGTCAGTCTCCCTGGGACTGGGGCTCCATGCAAGATCTCACCTTGTGGCGTATCAATGATCCTAAGAAAGGTGAGGAATCAGCCCAGAACTACACTGGAGGAGCTGGTCCATGACCTGAAGAGAGCTGGCACCACTACACTAAGATGTCATAGTTTAAAATCATGCATGGCACGGAAGGTTCTCCTGCTTAAATCAGCACACGTCCAGGCCCGGCTTAAGTTTGCCCATGACCATTTGGATGATCCAGAGGAGTCATGGGAGAAAGTTATGAGGTCAGATGAGACCAAAATAGAACTTTTTGGTCTTAATTCCACTCGCCGTGTTTGGAGGACGAAGAATGATGAGCACCATCCCAAAAACACCATCCCTACTGTGAAGCATGGGGGTGGAAGCATCATGCTTTGGGGGTGTTTTTCTGCACATGGGACATGATTTCTAAGTGGGAGAACTTGCAAAGTCACACGGTGTTCAAATACTTATTTTCTTCACTG